CTGACAGGTGGCAAAAGTGGTGCATGAAGCAATTTTGCGAAGAAGAAAGAGTATCTTTTTGTTTTGATTTATTATGGACCAAAAAGCCATACAAGAAATATTAAATATTACATAATTAAAACTTAACCATATAAATAAAACCGGCAGACATGAAAAGATTTTATTTTATAGTTTTAAATGTATCTATCCATGTTTAAGTTAAAATTTACTTATTAAATTAATATTAGGTATATTCTATTATTATTAATAATAATACCAAATATTTATTTTGCTTGAAGAAAGCTTTTCTCACAAGTGAAACACAATGTTTTTTCTACGACCCTTTTATTTTTCATTACTTTCAAATACAAAACAAAATGACCTAAAAACGTGTTTGACAGCTGAATGTCAAACAATGCTGTCAATTTCTTTTCACACAGACATGTCACTTTACATTCGAGTTTTGCCTTGCCAATGAAAATATTCATTTTCTAAGCAACGATGTCATTACGAAATGTGACTCTTACATGGTGGTCGTAGAAAAACTGTATTTTTAAAGTGCACTTTTTTGTGTAGGTATTCTTTATTATAATAGGTTTTTGAGTTTAATTATGATTCCAAGGCCTTATTTATAAAAAAATATTTTTTAAGTTTTTAAAAATGAAAATCTACTTAGGTATTAATAAATTAGATTTGTATTACTTATGTTATGTTATTGTTGCCATTAAAAATATTATATATACACTATATTTTATTAAATTTTCGGTTATACAATATATATGTACAGGGTGATCCCCTATAATGTCGCCCCCCTTTAACTTTTTTATTTTAAGGGCCCCAAAAAATTTAAAAGTGTGGTTATGTAGGAACTAAAAAATACTTTTTTTCTACGTATAAAGAAAATTGGAAAATTAGTCAGTATACAGGGAAAAACAAAAAGTTTATTATTTTTCAATGGATCACCCTATATATGTATTTATTTTTCGATTCCTTGTAAAATTCTAAGCATATTTCATATAACATACCATATACCTAAATTCAACCGTTTCTGAAATATTTAAATTATTTTTAAGATAATAATTTGAAATAGTTTGTCTTTCTCTGTCTGAGTACGTCATTTTTACTTATTTAACAAGAAATATTGACATAATGTCGCTATAGTAATTTATTTTCAATAAAAATTTTGGTATACTGAGGCTTCTTGATTTCTAACAGTTTAAAAAAACCTTTAATCATAACATTTCGAATGCGAATATTTCAGAAACAGTTGAATTTAGGATATGATTTCTTATATGAATTATGCTCAGAATTTTACAAGGAATCGAAAAATAAATTCATATATAGGGTGATCCATTGAAAAAAAATAAACTTTTTTGTTTTTCCCTGTATACTGATCAATTTTCCAATTTTCTTTATAGGTAGAAAAAAAGTATTTTTTAGTTCCTACATAACCAAACTTTTAAATTTTTTAGGACACTTAAAATAAAAAAGTTAAAGGGGGGCGACATTATAGGGGATCACCCTGTACTTACATATTAGGGTGCTCGAATAACTCTAGAAGAAATCAATTTATCGAAAAATAATAAGAGAACTTTTTTGTAGAGCGTTAAATTTTATATAAGAAACTGCAATGATCATTGCCATAAGTTACTTTGATACAAAGGTATAAAATTCCAAACATAAATTAGTTTTTTCCCATGTTAATTCAATGGGAAACTAAAATAAAAACAGCGACCTCTTAGAGTTGAGCTGGACCGCCCATATTTGGTGAGGATTTTTTTTATATTAAATAAAAACATTTGAGAGGGTAAGAGCGAAAAAAATTTTTTTTTGAAGCACCCTAATATACATATACAGTGTATATTATACACATTATAATGTGCGACTAGTATAATGAAATCTATTTTTAAATGTATTTAGTGAAGTTTGCCATCTGTTGATAACATTTTTTTTTGTATTAAAAGTCTACTGATTAAAATAAATAAATAAATGCTCATTTATTTTATATTAAATTATAAAATTTTAAATGTGCTCATACAATATTTATGGCATTAATTTATTATTTGCAAGTTTTAAATCGATATAATTAATTTGATCGAAATATTTGTACTTATTTAAAAAAGTAAATCTCTAAAAAGAAATAATGCAAACCTAAATAGCATTCAATGATTGAATTTCAATCTATTTATAACTTGTTTATATTAACGACACCGTTGTCAAATTTGCTTTTCATTTAAGGGCGCTTGGTAAACCTAAGATTGAAAAGAATGTTATATACACAAGGCGATAGTAGTGACACTCTAACGCAAACCCTTGAATTAAAATATAAACAGAATTCATTAAACGACCAAGTTAAACTCTTTTTAAAATTTAGTTTTTCTGCATCTCACAGCCATCTAGCGCTTATTGGTAAATGTTTTTGGTAGAGTCCAGTCGGCGTCCGTATAACGGACGCCCAGTGACCAAAGGACGCCGTTTGTATACGAAATTTAACATTGGAGGACGCCCAGTGGGATTATATATATATATATATATATATATATATATATATATATATATATATATATAATATTATATATATATATATATAATATTATATATATATATATATATGTATACATGTATACCTAGTTAATCTATGAAAGTTATTTAAGACTTACTGTAGCAGCTTTAGTTGCTCCTTTTTTTATATGTATATATCCCGGGCTCAGTACGAGGGTGAGTCGTTTTCGGAAATGCGAGCAATAGGGGGTTTACACCGAAATTATACTTACATTTGCTAAGGTTGGAATTTATGGGCGCCAACCATCCAAATTAAGAGTTTACCGAGTGTCTAGGGTTTGGATGGGTTTGGTTGTTTAAATTTAAAAAAATTTAAGAATTACTTCGCATATATTATAAGAGGTTCCAATCATACATTATATGATTTGAACAGATATAAACCAAAATAAGAGATTTATTTATGCAATATTCAATAGATGTAAATCAAAATAAGATATTTATTTATGTAAACAAATATTCAATAGATATAAACCAAAATAAGATATTCACCTTTGCACAAAATCATTAACCGTTCAATATTTATGGCCATAAAAACTGTACGTTTACATTAAACGTGTTTTTTCATATGAAAAAAAAATATATATAATATAAAATCAAGTAACGTGAGTGTAGGTCCTGAAGGGGCCTAACTCAAAACAAAAAAATATGTAAAATTATTGCCATCATGCAATAAATGTTAGTAGATATCAAGTAAAATGAGTGTAGGTCCTGAAGGGGCCTAACTCAGAACAAAATATATATAAGGATATTAAAAATATAAAAAGTGAAACAAGGATAGACCCTGATGGGGCCTAACTTGGTGTAAAAAAAATATATAGTCAAGTAGATTACTAAAGCATTTAAGACTTCCAATGGGTACGTTACTACACGCGTCCTCCTGGCTGGTTCTGGCTAAATACGGCGCGGCCTTTGATGGAATGGCACGTGGCGTGGGTTTCAAGTGAACATTTATATCCCCATTGGAAAAACTAGTGAAATTTCAAGTAATATAATATACGTAAGCTTAAACTTGCTCTACTTACCCTCCAGACTCAGAGGTTTTGAATCACTCAAGTAATCTATCTTGCAAAGTTTAATTCGGTAAAGAACTGTATAAAAGAAAATTTATTGTAACAAATGAAAGAAGAAATTTAATTTAACTTACTCTTTATAAATCAAAAAAGAAGAAACATTTCGTCGAAAATGTTATTCGAGAAATTCTTCACGATATCGACTGTACGAAGCTTGAAGAGGAAATTAATTTATTTTAAGCATAGAATAAATTACTTCGAGTGGATTGTTTTTTAAGAAGCTTAAAACCCGCACAAAAAAATCAACCTAGTGGCCACGACGTCGATCGATAATATTGGTCCGATATTTATTCGGAAATTGGTAAAAAGAAATTGCACTCAATATTTGCAACGTTGCCGGAGTCGAAATTTTCCGAATCCACAAACGCCGAAATTTTATGTTATGTTTACAATTTTCTTCCAGCAAAACAAGAATTAAAAGGTTTTTCAAAAAGAATACGCGCATATCATTCACTCAAACAATGCCAGCCGTCAAAAGGTTCTACCCAGATGTGGTTAAATGTGAATTAAATAATTTATTTTATGAAAATTAATTTATTAAATTTTAGGTAAATAATGAAAATGAAACAATGAAAAATAAAGATTTCGTTAAAGAATTTAAGTGGAAAAGTTACTATATAGTTACTATATTAAATTGAAATGCACAAGGTAAATTGTTGCGTTACATTACCTTTGATATTATTAAATTTTTTCTCTATGATTTAAAATTTTACGTAGTGTGCATCTTGTGTTGACGCAAATCCTTAATATACTTAAAAGAATTGGTACATTTAAAACATTTCAAATTAAACTAAATTCGTAACTCATTACTTGGGTATTTTTTATTTTGTGCACGTTTTTAATGTGCCTATTTAAACATGATTGTCTGGAAAATATTGTTTCCCAAAATGTATACATAAGAGCCATGTTAATAACTATTAGTTTAGATGTTTAGAAATAATGACAAAACACAACAAAATGTGCGATGACACAGCGCCGCCAACAGGTCCTCAACTTAACTAATACGGCACGCGGCGCTCTGTTTAGTCGCTCCTCAAATCTCAGCCAGTTTGACGCGTCTTGGTTTTTCTCCGGACAAAAAACTTTACGCCGTAAAGAGATCGTGCGCGTTGAAGAAAATATCACGTGACATGGCCAGCAAATGACCCCTTTAATAAGTAAATCAGGTATAATTAAATAAGAGAGCACTGTTAAAACGAAGCTCCTGAATAAGGTTATGTCCGTCACCCTGTTCGATTCGTCTTTGGGACAGGGGCCCTATTCTCGACTTCATTCGCATCGGTGCGAATACGTACCGGTGCGAAGAGTATGCGTGCGAACGATTTTTTTGAGACCATATTCTCAACAAGCCTTCGTATCGGTTATTCGAGTCACAAGAAAGAAATGTGGCAACAACGCAAAGTAACCTAAAAATAAAGTTTCAAATTTTGTAAACACAAATATTTACATTTACATTTACATATTTACAATGAATCGTGGTAAAAAATCAACGTCAATAACGGAAACCCAAAAAACCACGTTGATTGAGTTTTTAAAAAATAATCCTTTATTAATTAGTGGAAAATTTTCAAATTCATTTACATTTAAAGATGCCACTGCAAAATGGGTAGAAATAACAGAGGTGCTAAATAGTATACCTGGTGCAATTAAGGACTGGCGTAACTGGAGAAAGGTATGTAAATAATTAGAGTCTATTATTTAATTAAAGTTCTCATTCTTATAGACATGGCAAGATTTACGATCCAGGACAAAATTAAAAAAAAGCGAGATAAACAAGCATCATGGAGGTACTGGCGGAGGACCACCTACTGAAAAGGAATTGACACCTTCAGAAATATCAATATTAGACATTGTAAAGGCTGTTTCCATTGAAGGACATAAAGTACCAGAATCTCCGGCAAACTTTAATTTTGAAGAAACGGATAAAATTGTTCACGACTTGCTGAATGAAAACCAAAAGGAACAAATTTTGGTGGTTCAAAAAGAAAAGGCATTATCAAATAAAGAAAATATTCAACCCTCTACAAGCCAAAGAAAAATACCAGAAAAGGCATTATCAAATAAAGAAAATATTCAACCCTCTACAAGCCAAAGAAAAATACCAAAAAGGTCTAAAATTTCAAATGGAATGGTAGTTAATGAATTTAATACACTGTACAAACAAAAAATTCAAATAAAAGAATCCTATTACAATAAAAAAATTGAACTATTAACAAGAATAGCAGTTGCCAAAGAAAAGTCTGCAACTTCAATTGAAAAAATTGCAGACACCCTAACGGAATTAACATATAATTTGACATAAACTGACGAGTTTTTATGTTCTTGTTTTTTGAATATCTATACCCCTAGCCAAACTATATTAAGTCCACTTTTTAAAAATCACATTGAACATATATACCTATCAAAGCCCGCTGCACAACAGCCCGGTAACGAGAACGGGAACCTAAACGGTAAAGGTGGGAGAGACTCAGCGAACACTAACAGTGGTTTCTTAGTCTCTTCCACCTTTACTGTTTAGATTCTCGTTCTTGTTAGCGGGCTATTGTGCAGCCGGCTTAAGTAAACCTGGATTAAATCCTTTTTATGATTGCTCTTAGGAGCTGAAAAATGTTTGCAAAAAATGTGCATTGTGATTTTTAAAAAGTGGATTTAATACAGTTTGGCTCTGGGGTACAGATATGTTCTTGTTTTTTATAGATTTAAGTAGATTTTAAAGTTTTGTGATAATTTTTTAATAGTTTTTGTTCTTGTTTTTTATAGATTTAAGTAGATTTTAAAGTTTTGTGATGTTTTTTTAATAGTATTTGTTTTTTTTTGTACCTGTCTATAATATAGGTTTTGTTTTTTATATAAATTATTTATTTTTATATATTTATTAATTTGTTTCTAGTTCAAAGTTTGTGATGTTTTTTATGCAATAAATATTTAGTGTAAAAATGATTTAAAACTTGCATTTTGTTTTGTAAAGGCCTAAATAAACACTTATAGAGTCCCTCTCAGGTTTATTGAGAAACGAAAAAATACTTAGCTTTGGTAGCTTATTAAGGATTAATTAAAAATGGTTGGTAGTTTAATTAACTAATTTTATTTTAAATATGTATATACAATATAATGTAGAATAAAAACAAATAATAAAAATCTTTGAGAATAGAAAATTTCCAAATTTGTTAACTGAAATGGTTGTTAGCCAGGGAAAACAGGTTACATTATAAAAAGGCATGTAATGGGGCAACTGTGGATTTAAAGTGTAGGTTCCCTCTATGTAATCCCAATAGGATGTGCAACTGCTCTTGATGGCAAAAATCTTTAGCTTTTTAGTCCAAATTGTATAAAACATAACTAATTACATTCTGTGTCTAAAGACATTACGAATTAAATTTTGCCTTGCTGCACGACCCATAGCAAGATCTTGATTTATTCTTCCGATACCGTTTCCCTCCATATTTTCTGGAATACCTTGTTGCAATACATCTATAAGTAAATATTTAAAGGTAAACAAGTGGAATAAATTGTTATTATTACCGTAAATTCCAAAATCAATGTCTTCTTCGTCATCATCATATTCTGGTTCAGGAATGTTATGTTCAACACACAAATTATGTAAAAACGCGCAAGAATTTATAATCTTGTTGTAAATGCGAGTGATAAAATGCGTATACGAATGTATCAGAAGAGTCAAGAATACATGGAATTAAATTTCATTCGAATATTTTACAAATGCGAGTGACCTTCATCTATACGAAGTGTCAAGAATAGCGCCCCAGGGGACGAACACCAAACCGGCGATGACGCCTGTATTTTTTCTTTAGTAAAATTAGCAGGCGAGCTAAATTCATTAATAATGCGGTTCGGCGAATTAAAAATGGGTCCACTTCCCCAAAGTATGAAACATCGGACAAAATCAAAACACACGCACTGAGGAACCAGGGGTGCGTTCATAGGGGAAATCTGATTATAGGTTGTTTATCTCGTGTGTAATGTGAGTTTTGCGCGGTGTGTTCCTAGTGTGCTGGGTGGATTTTGAACGCCTGTCAGTTCGATTGTCACATTTGGCGTTTTTGACGTCAAAGTTAACCTTATGAAGCCAGCTATATTTTGTTCCAGTTTGGGCGTCCAAACATTATTTGAAATTCCAATTGCTTTTTCTGATGCAGACGACGAAAGTAGTAGCGATGACAATGAAGTTATGTTGTTAATGGTTACTCGGAGTACAAAGTTAAAGAAACCACTACGTATTCAAAACTATCTTGTGTACAAGTGAAGAGTTTCAACAACACTTTCGAGTTTCAATTGAAGGTTATAAGCAAATGTTGTGACTGGTTGGCCCTTATTTACTACGAAGCGGTGTTGCAGGAAGAAGCACCATCGATAGAAAGACAATTGTTGTCTGTTATCTGGCTTCTTTCCAGTAAACACACATACATTAAATTTACGTAAATTGGTTGGGAAACATACGTGAATAATCTCTATAGAGAACGCCGTGGTTAAGTTGATTAATAGGTATATCCTCATTAGGTGGGCAATATATATTGATGAAGTTGATATTATCAACTTTAATTATAAGATACTGAAATCTTGAATTCGTGATTTGTAGCTGTTTATGGTTTAGATTAATTTCACTATATTTAATATTTTTTTTAACTAAGATGGCAATTCCACCATATCCGTCAGACCTATCCTTTCTAATTTTTGAAAATAAACGTTATTATTATTATTATTATAATTTTTGTAGTTAAACGTATAATTTGGTTTTAACCAAGTTTCATATAGTATGAAGATGTCAGGTTTATACTCTTTCTCAAGGTTAATTAAATTATGTTTGTTTGAATTGATACTGCGAATCCATTGTATGATGGAAAAACTTGACATTAATAATATAAAGATTTAATTGAATCTGAGTCTTCATCCTGAGCTCTAGATTCAGATAGTTGAATGTTTGTTTGTAATGCTTCCAATAGTTTATGTTTATCACCTTGAGAAAGAGTATCAAATGAGTTATATATATTTTCAAATTGTGAAAAATTTATTGGGGTGTTTTGTGACGAGGGGTTTGATGATTGGGAGGAAGAGGGTGATTGTTTTAGAGTTGCGACCACTATTGGTGGTTAGACAGGTCTGATGGGCTTCCTTGTCATAATTATTATGTAAAGATTTTTTTGAGGCTATGGGAGATTTTGTTCTTAACCCTCAACCCGAGAATTTATAAAATTTTACGCGACTAGCGGTATGAGATACCGCTATTAAAATTAAAGCTAATTGTTTTAATTTATTTGTCATTTTTATTACAAAAATAGAAATCATTAAAAAATTACCAAATATTTTTTATTACAAAAATAGAAATCATTAAAAAATTAACAAAAATATATGAAAATATAGTTACAATACTATATCCTAAACATATTTTTCATCAGCAATACATTGTTTGCAAACTTTACTAGCATGTTCTAAACAAATTGGTTTATGGCAACTATAACATTGATAAAATGTCTTTCTTTTCCTTTGATGACACAGAACAAGTTTTTTTACCTCTAAACGCTCATCTGTTGATGTTGATGGTTGGTTGTCGTCAGTTTTTCCCAAAGATTTTTGTACAAAAGTACGAATCTTTGCTCAATTTTGGGTTTTCCAGTCTACTTTGCATATGAGTTGTTACAAGTTTCATATCAAGTTCTTCAATAAATAATCTTCGCGATATAGGTTTTGTCTCTTTATAATGCAAATATAAAATATATGCGTTATTTACTGATATGTCAACGATTCTATAAAATATAGCCAGGGGCCACCTACGGCATCGTCGACTTGAGGAGTAGATAGCACATTTCATGTCAAGTGTATCTACTCCACCTTTTGTAGAATTATAAAAAAATATAATCTCGGGTAAAGAGTTATCAGGATCCGTGGCTTCGCTGTGATGCGATGATGAAACTAACAAAACCGCTTTGTTTTTCTTTGAAGCATAAGAAATTATTGTGAAACCATTATTTGAAAAACCATACATACACGATCCGATAGGGCGTTTGGGCGAAGGTAAAAATTGAGGAGGGATTTCTCGTTTATTTTTTTTAGAGTGCCTGTGTAGGTAAGTCATCTTTTTTGTAGCTCATGTAGCAGTTCGATTGAGGTAAACCAATTATCGGCTGTTATGTTTCTATTTGTTTTCTCCAATGGCTTTACTAGGCGTATTACAGATTGGGTAGGTTTTTGAAGACTTTTCATTTTCGCTCAAAGTTTGTCCATCGCTATTTCTCCCACAGTAGATATATCATTGTAAAAGTATGAGTTTTTGGCATCAGTGAGACACATAAGCTTTATGCCATACTTTGCTGGCTTATTCGGCATATACATTTTTAAACTACAGCGCCCTCGAAAGCTGATCAGCATTTCGTCAATGCATACAGTTGGTCCCAAGTTAAAGCAATTCTGTGAGTTTTTAACCGAAGTATTGAATATGAAAGATATGGCTGCAGTTGGATCTTCTTTCCTGCGTTGTTCCCTAGTGTTGGCATTATCAAACCTAAGACAACTAAGTAAAACTTTAAATCTTTTGGAGGACATGACTGCCCTAAAAATTGGGCGACCTGTAGCTTTAGTAGAAAACAGTGATAACATGTTTTCATGATTTGAGCGAAATATGGATGTAAACATAAGTAATCCTAGAAAAGCACGAATTTCTACAAGATTAGTATCCCTGTAATCTACGGAAGAATTTTTATGTGTGGCCCTGACTTTTTCCAATTTCTCATTTGTGTGAACTATAATTTTACTAAATATAAGATTGTTGAATAACAGTTCCCAAATTTCTTCTACATTTGGTTTATTTCCTAAACTTTTAGCTTGTTGTTTGAGATTAGGCAACTTTATTATTATGTTATGACGAGGAGTTTTTACTGCCCTATTAGGTTCTTTAGAGCTCCATGAATAGCCATTTTCCCCTTATACATCACTTCTTCTTTGATATCACTGTTGCCTTGATCTTTAGAACATTGCTCATTATCTTCTTTTTCTTTTTCTTTAGAACTCGTTCCTTCATCCCCAGACCACTCTTGCTCAGAATTTGAACCCTCCTTTTCTTCTTCCAAAACAGGACTTTCCGGTAAATATTCATCGCCAGAGTCTTCCACTTCAGAAATTTCTTGCTGTTCATCATCAGATAACTGATCAAACCATTTTTGAACAGTTGTTTCATAATTTTTGTCCAAATAACTAACACGTTTGGAGTTTAACGCCATATTCTACAAATACAATATTCTTTTACATCTTTCACATAAATAAAACAATATGCAACTTACCAAGTCGAATATCAAACAAATAATAGTATCAAATAACTATACACATTTGCTAATTAAAATCGCGTTATTCGAGACTATCGGTAACAGAGACCGCGCACTTTTTAACAACCCTCCT